TATTTACTACAGGAAGGCACTTCTATGATGAAGGCTGAGTGATACAGTTACGAATGAATATATCAATATGGCATTATGAGCCATTTTATTACAATGTTCCTTGAGCTGAATAATGGTAGTAGGTTTTCCTAGAGCCCATGACGTGTGTAGTCTCAGATTCTTGGCCTCATTAACAGTGCTAGGTATTGGTTGCATCTCATGGAGTAGACCAGACCTTAAATCCAATAGGAAAGTGGTTGGTTATTCCCATGACATTTGTGCCACTATTGGACCAGTACATCTTGCAGGCATGTCACCAGTATAGCTCACAGAGTTCACAGCTGCATGAGACTGATTATTACTTTTCTCCTCTGGTAGTGTGTATGCTATCTTCCAGCAATACAAATACTAGTAAGTAGATGAAGTTTCTAGTTAGACATTAGCTCAACTTCTCCATGTTTGATGACATATATATGTGGTAACAGCCTAGAAGTCCACCAACTGATAAATGGGTGGTAATAAAATACAGCACATTTATACAATGGAATATTCAACTGCCAAGAAAAATGCAAAAATGACATTTGTAGGTATGTGGGCAGAGTTAGAAAAAATCAACCTAAGTGAAGTAACCCAGAGTCAGAAAGACAAACATTGCATGCTTGCTGATGTATGTAGATACTTGCTTTTCCTCTTTAGCTGTGTTTGCTTCCTTCAGAATATTCACTGAGGTTAGGTAGCTAGATAGGGGACTGGATGGGGAAGGGGGTGGGTCTTCCAAGAAAGGGGAAGTAGATTATAGTGTTATAAAGGGATAACAGGAAATTAGAAGTAAATGAGGAAGGAAATAGGAAAGAAGGGTAAAGGAAGAAGTAGGAAGAGGGATAGCTAATACTGAAGACCTTATGAAAAGCCCTGTGGAAGCCTACCATAGAGGCTTCCTAAAATATAAATATATATGAAAGGAATTTAATTTGAGTTAATATATAGTGGTCAAGACAATGTCCCAACTAGACATTATATGCTACCAAGTAAAACTCCCTGTACCAGAAATGTGTTACATCTTTTTGAGTCATTGGCCAAATGGTCATAGACATTCCTCAAACACAACAAACAAAATCAAAGCAGGCTGCTGCCGATGTTATTGCTTACACTCCACAACCTCCATCATTTTTAAGTTCATTTTGATTTTTACCATGGTGTTAATGATATATTGAACAGGAAGTTTTAAATTTTACAAGGGTATTAAAAACACAGATTTCAATCAAAAGCAACGTGATTATGTCAACCAATTGGCCAGAAAAGGATAAAAACCAGGAAAGCCATGACCATGCATTTCCCCAGGAAAGTCATCCTTCTGTAACTTGCACTGGAGATGGTATGGACCAGTTTTATTCTTGAGTTTTGGGATAAGAAACGTTGGGCTGTTTCAAAATTGTACTTGCTGAAGGTAGCAAACCAATTTCAATTCAAATAGAATAGCGTAGAGTACAGCAAAGTAGTGTCTTGTTATCAAGCTGTGTGCAGGGCATTTACAAAGGCTGGGCTGACATCAAATAATTCCTTTGGTTTTAGAGCATTCCCATCAATAATCCTTACTCCAAAGTTCATTTAGAAAAGGGTTCACAAGTACCAATGAAGGCATAGAAAAAATTCCCAGTGTTGAAAAAAATAATAACATATTCACTTGTTACATGAGAGTCACCTAAGGTGCCTAGATGTTTGTCTGCAATTCCTTGAGTGGAACTTTTACCTAGGAAGCTCTTGTAGCTTTGCTCTTGAAGGCTAGCGATCTGAGGTGAAGGCTCATCTTCCCTTTGGAAGGTGGGACATCATCCTTCACAGTTGTTTCCCTCTATGCAGAGGGCACAGATCCACGTCCTAGTTATTTGAACTCACTCTGCTGAGGGGAATTCTTTCCTGTGGCCCAAACATCTGACAATTATGGTAAGCCTATCCCTTTAAAAATTCTTTTTCTTCAGCCTTGTGGGTTTTTTCCCCTGTGGTGTTTTATTTCTGGGTAGTCTTGTTCTTGGGTCTATTGTTGTTTCCCTGGGCCTTTTTGTAATCCTTGCATTTTACTTCTGTTATTGTCAACAAGAAAAGCCAAATTTAAAAGTTAAGTTGAAGAGTCTGACCTCCAGTGATGATTGCCCCTCATGTCTGCAGGAAATTGACTGAGGAAACACACTTCTACAATATCTGACTTTAAGGAAATTTTTAATATCCTTTAATTTTGGTTAAATTAACCATATACACAGCATCTTTAGGTTTTATCTCAGAAACCTGTTAATGACTTACTTGGACCTCCAGAAACAGTTTTAAGCTTTCTGGTTTGGTTTTTCATTTCTTTCCTCGTTTTCAAACCATCACCTTAGGATGACACTAACACGTGCCTTCCATTCTCATCTGAATAAGTGTTCCTTCTTCTCATTAACCTTCAGTAACAAAAACATAGTCTATGCAACAACTTTTTATGCCCCTTTTTACTTCATAGTACATACATCTCGTCTTATCACCAGAAAATATTTCTTTCTTGAAAAAATAACTGTACTTGAATGAAACACAGAAAACTGTACCTGAAACAAGGGCAAGACATATTAAGAGTCCTTGATATGTTGTTAATTTTAAATCAAAGGTAAAATAAAAGTGTGACATCCTGTCCTCATTTGTGCTCACATTCATGCCTTGGGGTTACTCACTTACTTCTTTACATAGTAAAAGAAGAAGGTCATGAACTTGAGAGTGAATGGGGGCCAGGCACAGGAGGAGATAGAGGAGGGGAAAGGCAGGAATGATGTAAGTACAATGCTCATGTATGAAAACCGCAAAACGTAATTTAAAAATATCCATTACCAAAAAAAACGAGTATTAATTTTGATAGACCATAAGTTTTTAAAAATATAAAGGTCTGAAGAGGTTGCAGATTTTGTTTTTAGGTACTAGGAACTTTAGGCTTCCTCATGCTATCTTGGACACAAAATGATATATAAATAATTACATGAAAACAGTTATCATTAATACGGGCAGCACAAATCAGAGTATATGCAGGAGAGACACAGTAGAAATATTGCCACCTTTAGAGGTAACAAGGATGACTGGTAGGGATCCATAGGGAGGTGACTTTTAAATTTTCTGCCAAAAAGATTAATTTATTTATTTTACATGGTTGTGTCTACACATAAGTAGATTTATGTGGACCACATGCTTACACAACCTGCAGAGACCAGAGGACAGAATCAGATCCCCTGAAACTGTGGTTCCAGGCAGCTGTGAGTTGCTGTGTAGATGTCCAGCTCTCTAAAACATTAGCCAGTGCTCTTATCCTGAGCCATCTCTTCAGCCACTTGGTGAGACTTATTAGAACCACATTTTCTCTACTTTTCCTCAAAGGAGTCAAGCTGAGTTCTCCTGAACTCGGTTTTAATATGTAATGTCCTCTAGTGCTTTGATCTTTCCTTTTATGAAGAGAAGGGTAGATAGCTATGAATTCTTAATTTCCTCTTGAAACTTCCATGTTTCTCTGTGAAGTACTAAGCAATGCCCTTCTACACTGTGTAATACCCCCTGGGTAATCATCATGTTAGTGCTTCTTTGATCTTTTATCCTTGTTCTACAAAGACGGTAAATTATCTAAGCAAAGTTTGCTTTTTCATATTCTTATTGATGGAACTGAGAACACAGTGTTCTTTGAACAGCAAATGATGATTATTGTAACATTATTTTCAACATCTGTGATAATTCATTGAAACTATTCCAATGTGCCAGGTTACCTGACTTTAGACTGGCTTCTCTGAATTTCTCTCCCCATCTGTGATCTCGCCCCATGCTCAGCAGGTAAATTGCTCTCTTTTTTTTCCACAGAAGAAACAGAAACCATAGGATGTAACAGTCCTCAATCCTGCCATTCTTCCATTCTCCTTCCCAACAAAGGTCATTCCTGCCCTTTGCTTTGGCTGTGTCTATTCTTGTCTTTCCAGAAATTCTCTACTATGTATTATTTCCCCAGAATTTTCTACATGTCATTCCTTATTAATTCTATTTAATTTTAATGTGTCCATATTTCTCCTATTATTTAAAAAAGCCCCCCTCTATTCTCATCCCTCTGTCCTCATTCATGGCCCCACTTACTGGCAAACTCACATTTACGTCTTCATTTTTTTTGTGTGTGCCTTATATTTATTCTCCAACCTACAAGAGTCTGAAGTTCACACAATCCTGTTTCCTGTGAGGGAATCCAGGCCATAAAATGGCAATTTTAGTTTCGTCTCCACTTGTCTTCACTGGGCCAATCCAGCCAATCTCTTTGTGCTCCCTGGTTTGTTCCCCCACTCTATCCCCAACTGCACACCTGCCTCTGTACCACCACATCATGTGTCTCCATTCTCACTCATTTCATTCTCTCATTTCTTCAGAAACTGGAATTAGATCAATAGGCTTTGCAACAACAAGTCAAAAGATATAGAACTGTAACTTGGAGGGTTAAATAATGCCAGGTAATAAGAAACTAACATCTTAAGGTACATGTACAGGAAAAGTTGTATACTCTGCTTGTACTAACTGCCAGTCCTAATGGGGACACCATGATCCTGATAATAATACTACACACCTGAGAGTGAACAGAAGTCACAACTGGAAATATAACTCTTATTTGAAAAAGGAGGTAGCAGTGTTGCTATTTCAGGTGACCCACTGAGCTAGGTAACTGACATGATCACTTGCCTACAGAAACTCCACTTTCATAATGTGTAATCGACATGACTCCAACAACTACCTGACCTTAAGATACTGTGCAGAAATTGTAAACTATTAAAACAGCAAAAGCCATTATTTGAACAAATAGATAGTACATTACACTATAATTTGATCATTATCCCTGTAGCATACATTAGAGTTAATTTTAAAAGTTCTTTACATTTTGAAAAGTAGTCTCTTCCTCATTTTGTAAAGTAACTCTTCCACTATGGCATGACAGCTGCCTTATTTCAAGTGCATTTGTCTCTGATATTAACATAAATATTAAATTAAAAGTGACAGAAAACCTTAATTTTAATGAATAAAATAAAGTCAGATGTATTTTCCATATAAACTCAAGAAAACAATAGAGTCTGGCAATGATCAATAGGAAACAGGAATGATTTGCTGACTGAATCAAATTTAACAGGTGAAAGATACAATGAAGTTCAGGTTAAATGTGAAATCAAACTAAAATGAGATACATTTTTGCTTTGATTTATAAATAAGGAAAAAATTGAGCACAATTTTTATGCATAGATAAAACCTCAGGACACTGAACTCAGCACAGTCTTCCTAAAATTATTTTGTGCAGGACTCGTGATGTGTTGAAATACTCCTTATCTTCCTTCCATTTGTTTTTGTGTCTGTAAAGCTTCTTGAAAAGACAGACTCCTTGATGAGAAAGAGAAAAAGAAGAGAATGTAAAAGAATGTTCATCACAATTCAGTGCCTATTACAACTCTAGTCACTGAACATGTCATGGCAGCATTGCCTTAAGTAGGGAACAACCAGTGCAGGTAGCCATGCTTAATAAAGTATCCTTCTGATTCTGTTTGAAAAAAAATCAATGTTGTTCATTAATGTTTTTGAATATATTAGCGCCAGGTTTATAATTTCTTCAAAATATTTGCTTTATTTTCCACTCTTGGAAAGGATGATCTCAGAAACCAAGGCTTTTAATATTGTACAAAAATCTTCTTCAATTTTGGCATATTAAACATAACTATTTCTAGGCAAGCACCCTGAGCATTTGTAGAGAGCACATAGATGCATTTTAAAGATCATCATTGGAGCTGGCTCATCATATGCAGCTGTACATGTATTTCCAAAATTTCATTATAGGTGAATGTATGACCAGTAAGAAGTTTGATAAATGTGCTCCTTTTTTCTTATTTCAAAAAATAAGTTGAATTTTGCACATTTATCTATTGTACATACAAATGGATTTCTTTTCCAACTGTCAAAATCTCGCAGATATCAAATGGTCAACAGTAATTTGACTCCAGGAAACTTAAAAGCTTTCAGCGTTTATGGGTTTAAGATATGAAGAAAATATGATTTTCCTTCTAATAGACATAAAGACAGAGCACTGTAGAGCACAATATTTATGAAAATTATAAAACAGTGAATCTCTTGAATGATATTTGACAAAAAATACCATAGGTACATTTTCTTACCTTTATCTTTGAGTACACTTTGGATATTTCAGCTTTCCTCTGTCACATTGCACTCGAAGTTCAAACCCACTAATAGATGTCTCAGTTATGTACGCATCTCTCTTACAAATAAATTCAATATACTCGCCATGGAGAATGAGTGGTCTATTGTCAAAGTTCCATTTCAGCTGTAAATAATTTTTATCCATTTCAACAAATGATAATGGACAAGGCTCTGAACAAACACAAGAAATTAAGATGAAAACTATATTGATACATCTTGTACTAACAGTACTTTCAATGTTGCCCATATGGGACAACTTTCATACTCCAGACAGAGACAAGCGAGTTAGTTAGAATTATTGTTGGAATAAAAACATATGCTCATTCCTAGTCCCAAAAGGAACCTGTGTGACGTTTACTACTGTGGTGCTTGAGTCAAAGACTACAAAGATAGTTACAAAAATTCATTTACAGTCTCTTTCCTTTGCTTCTTCAGAGAGTTTAAATCATGTGTCTGAGAGGTAACTCAGTGATAAAGAGCTACCTAACATGGATAAGACCCTGTTCTGTGTTCAAACCCCAGCAAACCCATATGCTGGGGTTTGAACAAACATGTGTGTGTGTGTGTGTGTGTGTGTGTGTGTGTGTGTGTGTGTGTGTGTGTGTAAATGTGTCTTCACTGTTTTCATATGGTTCCATGAGTTAACTTATTGTCTGCAGAGAGTAGGACATATACTTTGCCACTAGTTAGTTTTTAATATGCATTGTCAATTATAAACATAATTTCCATTTTATTGTATTTTCAAAAAGGTAAGAAGTCTGATACCATGAAATAATTCACATAATATATAATATTCCTTTAAATATTATATATATATATATATATATATATTCAAGATAAACCATTAATTACTAATAAGGTGGCAATGTAAAAACAAGCTAAATTCTCAACCCTAACCCAAATGTTGTGACCTATCTCCATCCAAAGCAGTTGACAGTTTTCCCTCTTTTAAATTTCCAGTTGAGGAGTATGGAGACTGGATTCCATTTTAAATCCTAAATAATGAAAGTGTTCAGATTTGCCTTCAACTATGTATTAACATAAAGCAGGGTAAAAAAGTTGAACACATATAATAGATAAATAAGTATCTCTGATTTCTCCCCATGGTAAAAATAGCATTTTGAAAATTTTGAAAAAAAATAAAATATTTTCAAAATAGGGTTCCTTGTGTCTTGTTTGCCTCCTGGATGATGTAAAACCAAGGGAAACCTTCTGGGTAGATTTAAGATGTCCAGAGTTGTTAATACAACATACCAACCATAGATTGTTACTATATAACCAATATATTTATTCAGATACTTTTAAAGAATGCATTGAGTATTTATAGGTCAAATGTTATGTGAGAGGTACTATAAGCAATATGCTAAGTTAAAAAAATGGTGGGAAAGTGTCCTTAGAATCTTCAGGCTCTTCGTTAAATATTATTTTAATGAGGTCAAATTGAATTGTAATTTAAATTAGTATTGAAGGTAGAAAATACCAATTATTAGATACTAATTGATTGATTAGCTTGTATTGCTTATTGCCAACCATGACTTCACCTCCTTGCTACCTAGAACAGAATAACCTGTAAAAATAGATGAAACACAATAGGTTATTGCCCTTAGCCACCTGACCACAAAAGCTTACACCTGTCACCTATAACATGTGCCTTTGAAAGCAGAAGCCCCTAGGCTTGCTGCTGCTTAAGCTTCAGGAAAACCCATCAGCTTGCCTGCTCACCCTGCCTTGTGGTGTTCGAGTATAAAAGAAGAATGCAAACTAGACCTGCAATTGAAGTCTTTTGGGATCTATCCTGGCTTCTGTCCGCTTGTGAATGTATCTCTTCTCTTCCATTCTTATTGGTGTCTGAGAGCTTACTCCAGAGACATTCCCCAAATAGGACTCTTTTATAAACCATGAGGTTTTACTTAAAATGGATTCATAGACTTTCTGCTTTTGCCTATGACCCTGTACCTTATATAAAACCAAAAATTGTATCAAAAACTAAAAATAATTTTTGAAAAACAGATTAAAACTATAAGTATATGGGTATCTGAGAACCACATATGCAGCCAGTGAGTTGAAACCACTAGAAAAAAATATTTGGTGAGTTTTTTTATTCTCAGTTCAGCTGAAAGGCTATGTGTAAAATGACCAATAACAGGCATATAACAAATAAAGTTTTTGACAGTCTCACAGGGTTGAGAGCAGAAAGAAGCATGAATGGGTCTGGCTGGAGTTGGTGACTTAGAGGTTTGGACTGTAGCTAAATGAGCTTAATTCTCTAAGCTGTTTTTTTTTTTCCTTTGAAGTATTCATCGTTTTGTGGCTGTTACAGAAGGGTGAGTGAGCAATGTTAGTTGGATTGAAAACTACCCTGCATATTTGGTATTCTTCACATACACCATTGTCAGTCTAGAAGGGGGCAAGGGAAGGAAAGTCTCAGCGCAGAACCATAGAAAACAAGCATCTTCCACAATTGGATCTAGCCCAACTACCCCAATCCTAACCTTTAGGCAAAGGATGGAACAAGTATTCCATGGAATAAGATCACTGTCCTAAACTCCTAAATTTGCTCACATCTAACATTTACTGTTGTAGAAATGGAAAAATAGTAGCTAAACTTTTCATAGTGCCAGAAGGTGCTGTACAGGCTTCTGGGGAGGGGGCTTACCCATCACTCAACTCTGCATATAACCATACAGGTGCACTGGTTTATTAGTGACGTGACTGTTTGGGAGTTACTAGCTGCTTTCTGATAGGATTTGAATGCAAATTCATAGCTAGCGTTGTAATCCTAGCTGAAAGAAAGCCTAAGGCTGGGGAGGTCATAGGTCGGTACAGAACAGAGGAAGAGAGGAAAGGATGGGGCATAGGACATCATCAAGTACTTGTAAATGACTGTAGCCATGCCTCATGGTTACCTACCAGAACTAGAGGAGACCATATTGCTGAAAACACCACACACCTTGGATGCATGACACAGCAAATGTAAGCTAGAATTGAACATAAGCTAGACTTGAACTTGGAACTTCCTCCCTACTGATCAGCTTTCATAGTCACAGAAGAATCAATGCAGGCTACTGGTAGGAAAGTGAATGGCCTCATCCAGCTGAATTCTATGATGTATGACATCAGTTTACTAATAAGATGTGCCAACTCATAAAATAGTGGCATTAGTGTTATGGAGGTAACTAACTACACTCCAATTAAATTTGAGACCCACCTCACAGGAGGGAATGCTTTAAAAAAAATCTGTGGTAGGGGAGATCCCATAGTTGAAAGGGGGAAATGAATATTGTTATTTAGCTAAACTGATGCAGCATCAAGCTGCATTCCAAATATTTAAGTTTATACTAAAAAATAGATACTGCTTTCAGCCTAAATCAAAGAATCCTTTCTTTCCAGTGAATGCTGATACATTTATACCATGTCCTCTAAGACCTAGGCAATATTATAGAAGAGAGTGTGTAAAGAATGTAGGACCTGAAAAATAGAGAGAAGGGCTTCAGACTGTTGTCTCATGGGCAAGACAGCCATTGCAACTGCAGTCACAGCCTGATCTGAGCTCATCAACAGTCAGGCTGGGTGGAGGAGGGCCTCTGTGACCCTACCCCTCACGGCTGGACTATTTGCTATTGAGAGATTCAGAGAGAGAGAATCTAAATGAAAGTCTTGCCTTCAGGTGTATACCCAGTGATGACCCTACCACACTCCAGAAGATATTGCAATATCATAGTCACACAGATGGCCTTGTTAAACTAAATGAGTCACAAAACTAAACATCATGAATCTGGGAAAGGGACTTGCTGGGATGAGGGGATGATAGGGCTGGGAGGGAGATAAGAAAGGTTGGGAGGGGCAGAGTCATCAGAATACATCATACACATGTATGAAATTGTCAAATAACTAACTTGATCACAAGAAAATGAAGTAAGATTGTCAGACAAAAATAATGCTAACAATGTCTCCAGGTCTTAAACTACATGTAGAATTAGAAGGTACAGCACACTAACACAGTGTGTGGAAAAAGTAAGCAAACAGAAAATGTCCTAAAGTCTTAGAGAAGAAATAAAAGAATGATTCACATCAGATCTCAGAAAATCAAAGTGCCATGATATATGATATAATTTATGGTAACAGTTAAAGGAAAACCAGAGGAAAGCATAAGAAACTCATAGACAATAATATCATAAAACAAAAATGCTAATTTATCCTTAAGAGAAAAAAAGAGTATAAAACAGGTAGAGTATCTATGAATGTGGTAAATGACAGCTATAAGCCAAACGTGTCAATAAGTACATTTTATATGCCAATGATTTAACTATTTTACCACAAAGAAAAACATTATCAGATTGTATAAGTATGTTTTGAAATAAATGAACTGTACATTACACGTAGGAAATACACTTAAAATACAAATCCAAAGGGGTGAAAAATCAAAATATGGAAAACTTTTTTTTTTTTTTTT